AAGGCCGGGGCTCAAGCTGCAAGCGCAATATCAACGAACTTCCCTTGCCAACTCATAACAGCCGCCAATTCCTTCTCAGCGCGACTGCAGGCGGGACCCTTGGCAATGTCCATGCGAACACGCTGTTTGGCCCCAGATCGCAACAACCAATCCAGTGAAGTCACAGCGGCACTTGTAGGCGCAGATGGCCGAGCTTGCTTAAAAACAGACAACCGCTGCAGAGAGGGATGAACGGCTGCCCGACGCTGTCGGCATAAAGACGCTGATGGCTGTAATTTCAGCAATAACTGATGTACCACATGCGTGAGCCAATCAAGCTCCGCAGCATCCGCAGCACAGGACGCAAGAAATCCGCGCCAATCCAAGTCGTCCACAGAGATGATTCAGTTGCTCATTGCAGCAACACATTTGGCAGAAGTCTGACTAGGACAAGTTCCTGACAAGCAATTGGATTGGGATTTGTGGGTCTATTGTCATAGGATGATTCTTGGTCTTATGCTGCTGATTTCATGTTCTAGCCACAATCCGGAAATTGCGAGATTAAGACTTCCGGCCAGATGGTTGGCAGCTTTCCTGCTCTTATGTTGTATACACGGTACAATCACCCGTTCTTCTACACTAAAAGCTTGGCAACGTCGTACCAAACACTTTGTGGGTGCTACCTTACAAATGATTGCAATGAATTTTGAGCTTGCCAATTCAACGTGCGTGATTCTCCTGCCACAAATCGGCAAGCACTCTCAAAAGGGACAGTAGCCTGAAATCATTGCGCCAAAAAAGTTCTACATTGGTTCTACGGCAGTCTCTGTACATTAAAGACAAGATGCTAGAATCAGGAAATACAGATTGTTGCAAGAAGGACAATTCACAAATACAGAGTTGATGGTACATTATTTCAACATGCATGGCATGGTGATCTTTGATGCAGTCATTGTTCCTGTAACATTCCATGCTTCAAAGCAAGAAGCCAGATCGCAAGAGTGCAATTTTATACATGTTTGGAAGCCACGGCTCAATGCCCCTTGGATTGCTAAATTCAATCCGACATCCGCGACAAGAACAACAACGATGAAGCTTGTTACAACACAACATTCAGTACCAGGCAGAAGACTATGGAGAAAGGTTAGAAGAAGACTACGCACAATGGGACTATTGCGAGTATCCTGCAGCTTCTTTGGATATCAACGACAATTGGTCGATCCTGATGTCTATTGCGCATGGTGGTATGCAATCGTTTCAAGCAGAAAGGAGATTACGCAGTGCACAATTTCAAGACCTACATGTTTACGCATTGCTTCGATCTACAATGCTACTTGATGATCCACCTCGAACTCCAGTTCGCAGTATATTGAAACGTATTCTCAAATTCAGAGACAAGCCATTTCCAAAACCCGGGATTCCATTAGTGCTACCTTTGTTGGGAAATGACAGGTTCAAACATAAGGTTCAACAGTGGATGAACCAACAGATTCGAGATCACAAAGAGTTCATGATTCCTTTCCATTTACCCAGCAAATCAGTTGTGGCAGGCAAGTTCCCGTCATTACGTACCAGACTTTACAACCATTTACAAAGTATACAGCAATGGGATTGGGCCATTCAGCCAGAATGTCAATGTGAGAAACATTTGGCGGTTGTTCAAAATTCCCTTTCTGGGATTTGGCCAACTTTAGCGAAAAAGTGT